AACACTACAAAAAAAATGATATTTAAAACCATTAGTCTACTATCAGCGTTTTCCAAAGCACTTGTCGTGAAGTGTGATCAATTAGATCTTACAAAAACAGTGAAATTATGCAATAGATTCAACAGGTTCGAGATGCGGTCTAATGTTGAACTGTGGACTTCGAAATGAACCCGGAGCTTCCGTAGAATCGAGAAATTTAAAAACCATCTGATAATAATAAAATTTTCCAAGAAATACCCTTCATCACGTAGTTAATAACTGTATTATCTCACACCTAACCTCTACTTACTGACATGACATCAGTTAAATTTTCGCTTAACGAACAAATTTCAAGAAATATTCCATCCATAAAATAAAGGGGTAGTGTAACGTATTTAGCACATCATATGTCGTTGTTGCATGTCACTCACTTGACTGTCTATTAACTGCATAGCATATTGTATCCAGTCATCTGTCACGCAGCATTGTTGTGCATTTACCCTCTGTTGACACAATCACCTGTGACGTAGACGCCTCGCGTCCAATTGCTCCTACTACACAATGCTAACAACGCTCATAATAAAACAACAACAGTACCGACTGCACTTTTGAATACGAACGATCTGTTCGCTAGTTCAAACAGTAATCATATTTAGTCGCTATTAAGGAACAGGAGAGTCTATTTCATATCCGTGCTACACACAACGTGATGGCAATCCTAACTAGCGTTTCAACCCCTCTAAATCGACTTTGAATCGACCTATAATGTGATTAATTTATTGTGTACAGGGGCTTTTATTCGACTAATCCGACACGTGAAACAAACGAACCTCGCTGCCACAACAAAAACAGAAACGTATACTTCAATATGGAGTACACACATGTGTTGTTAGTGACGTTATGGAGAATGAACGAAAGCATTCCTTATTTCTAAACAACAGTTGCTTTTTAACTGCTTGACATAAAACAAGGAAACCAAATGCATATTCCCCTTATTTTCCAAGTAGGCTGTGCGTCCCCAAACAGTGGTCACATTACTCATGAGAGCCACAACAGGATTTTTCCAGGTACACTGACTTGGGAGACTGAAACTGGTCCCCTGGCTACCCAGTTACCTGATCAAACGCCACTGAAATTTTACTTTTAACTTTATGTCAGGAACAACATTTATTTTAAAAAGAACGGTCATGTCAGAAGACCAGAAAGCCATAACTGCTGAGACAGTCGAACGTGTCATTCAGGAATCGATTATCGAATCTAGCAAATGAAAAGTCTGGTGGAGTACGAGAAAAACAAACAAACAAACATTGGCCTTGTAATCCTGGGGTCTCGGGTTCGATTCCCGGCGGTGCCCGAATTTGTAACTTGTGTTGGGCCAGGCCGTGGTCTAGGCAACACGGAGTTTTCCTCTGTGGCATCCCAACAATTACTCCATTCACACACAGAAGAAGGCAATGGCAAACCACTTCTGGATCATCTGCCAAGAACGTATATATGAACAGGTCCCAGTCCGAGAAAAGGATGGAAGGACCCTGTTCATATGGACCTGTCGTCAGACAGAACACTTAAAAAAAATAATATTTTCCGTCCACACTGCAGTCCTCCTTTATTTTTAAGCTCATTATCGCAGATACAAATTAACTTCGTGCAAAACTAATAAAACGCAGAAACCACGCCTTCAGTCTGCTGCTAACAAGGATATCAAAGATATTAAAATGAAGAGACGATGACCATACAAAACGTTCCCAACAGAATCTAGTATGCACTTCTTGTTTCCTCCACCTTCAAGATTCCGACTTACAGCAGCATTCAGCACTTATAATTATCCGTGACTAACAAAGATCCTAGAATACACCGTTAAAGCATGCTTTATAATAAAGATTTAAGTTCCATCAACAAAAAAGCGACTGAGTTAAAGATGAAGTTATCTCCATCGTTTTATGACCTCTTTAATCAAGACGAGAGACAGTTCTTTTGGTACCGGCTATGAAATAAAAACTTTACGAGCATTTCCGAACTTACGACCAATCTAGTGAAGAAATTAACAATAAAAGGCTCTGAGTCCTGCGGCTTGCATTAAAACAGGTTTATAAAACCACGAAAGAGGGAGGACTCGTTCGAATTGGAGAGTAATAATAATTATTATTAGTATTATTATTTATCTCTTATTTATTTAATAACGATGTAACACATCACAAGCGTCGAATAATAGGATTAATGAATAGTGACGTGGAAAGGACACGGATAAGAAGCGGTCGTGGCCTAATTTACGGTACTGTCCCGGAACTTAGCGGGAGAGACTCACGAAAACTACGTCCACGATAGCCGGTCTCCGGGTCGAGAATTTTTCACGATGCTTCCCGAAAATATAGCAGCAGTGCAGAGCAGGGACCGATATAAAGAAAAAAATAACTTCGAACCCAGGACCTCACGGCGACACAACATCCTCATTTTGCGTCCACTGAACGCAAAAAAAATATATCTTAAGAATACAAGCCGCGCTGCCACGGAAGTGACCTGATTACTGGTGTTTTAATAGCAATGTGTGTGTGTGTGTGTTTGTACATGACAACACTAAACAAAAACTGCATCACAGTAGACACAGCATATGAGTTGTACCGTGCACAGACTTGAAAGGTGAAACGAGGGCACGACCTCACAGAAAATACAAAAAAGACAACAATAGCCCCCTTCTCCCACCTCGAATAGGTAATGGCTGTGTAAAGTAAATAGCTGCCACATAATGGGGCGGAACTTCCTCGTAATGTAACACAACGCATGTAAAAAATAACAAAACAACCAAATCCTCCCTCCCCCGAGTCGTCACTCTTTTGACTTCAGGCTATTGTTGGTGGCATGGAAGCACACAGCACACGTTTTCCAATGAAGCACGAAATTGCGGTCAAAAGGTTGAACGAGTGAGGTTGGGAGAAGGGGACGACTGAATACTCTTCCTGCATATCTGCAACCAAGCCCCCACAACCGTCTGTTTTATTGATTTTCCATTTTGTTTCTCCCCTTCACTGACAAACTACCCCTCCATCAGACGATGGAATAGTAATTCCACCTACCCGCCACCAGAGTACGCCATCTTCCAGATCCAACGCCAGATGGTTCCGTTTTATACCACCAACTTCAGTTGGCAGTACAATACAAGTACTACAAAGTCGATATATCGAACGAAACCACAAGGTCTTCAAAATAAATAACAACGCTCGTCTGTATACAGGGCACATTAAATCAATTCACTCCCAGATCATTTCATTAAATCAATGCCAAAATACCATATCCTTGCAGTAGTCATAGATATGATCAACAAAAGACATAGACAGCCTTCTGGAAAAGAACTAGGTCAAACAAGAATGACTGATTCTTAGTTTATGGAATGTGATTTCGGTGACATGGGTTCTGGTCTAAAACGACGAGTTGGTGAACAAAATTCTTGGAAAATGCCACTAGGAAGATAACACTTCAAATGAATCTTACAGAAATATGTTAAGTGATCACATCAAAGGCAAGTTTTCGTTATGAGAACCCTAAGGTTATACTACCACAAGGTTATAATATGGCAAAGAATTTTTAAACAGGTATTTCAATATGAGCATGTCACTCAGCCACAGAGACTGGAAAAACTGTACGAAATGACAGGCTAGCCATCGGCCATGCCAAGATACATTAACTGGATGCGGCACTTCACACTGGCATCACTGTTCCAAATCAGGACACAATAAACAACATTCAACAGACGTAAAATATTTTAATGAAATGACTGTGACACAGTTCATTTCAATTTTTATTATCACCACGTCTTTGTATCTTTTTTAATGTGGGAGAAGGTAAAATGACATAATAAAGTAAGAATAAATTTTAATAGTCTCTCCACAGGCATTCTTAACATGCCTATATAATTAAAATTCTGGGATAATTTGACATAAATATAAATCACAGGAAAAACACTACAAAGATAAGAACAATTTAGGAAGAAAGGTTGTATAAAATTCAACACAAATAAATAATTCAGGGTGCAGTTAGCCAGTATTTCCCTTTGAAACATCAATTAAAGGGGAGGATCATTATTACATAGAATTTCACCCAATGGATTAGTAGGATGCGGGGAAAAAGGAGGCAGCATCCATAAACCTGTAAATTCTATTAGCAGCTTCAATGTTTTGCCCTTGGCGCTGTAAATTATGCAACATGTAAACAAGAAACAACATGATCAAAACTGAAAAACAATAATTGTGGACGGTGCACAAATAGAAACTCTTCTATATGCCAGTAAGAATATTTGTCGAGAAGTAAATATACAAATGTCACACACACCAAACTCGATGACAAAGTCACGATACATCACCACATAATAAATTATTTTTCTTCTTGTAGCGTTATAACTCTACATGGGACTTAGCTTGTTCGACGAGTTTTTTCAATTCTATCCTATCATTCACAATTCATGTAATAAATTACTCAAAAATATATCATACCATAAATACCACTGAACAACGTTAAGCTGCATGCTAAAATCAAGAAAATAATAAATTATGGCTTGACAGACAGCAAAACAGTTCAATCTATATTCCACAACAAAGAAAAATGTTAGAAGGCAACACCCGCATAAAAATTCATAAGAAAAAATATAATACAGCAGGACGTCTGTACATCTCAACACTGTAACATGAAGGCGTGTAAAAAGAGCGTGCATACAACTCTAAACATTCCTTAACCTGTCACTGATCACTATACAAAATTATTTCTCTTGGTGCCTGAAAACAATATGGAAGGATAAACTGCTTACATTCATAATAAAACAGTATCAGCTTTAATGAAATTATAATAGGAATGACAAAAAGAAAGATTCAAACCTCTTTTAACAAGGACAGTAAAGATAAGATTACAAAAGAAAGCTCCAACATGCAACATAGCAAGCAATAAAAGAACACTCAAAATAGAGAATTAATAAGAATGCATTCTTTATAACAAAACATGAAATACATGTCTGATAAAACAATTTTTGCACTTACAATGTGAAGACCCTGGTGGCACACCAGCAGCACACCTGTCCAATTCACAGCAACCTCCCCACCCAACAGTTCAACACACCTGGAAAAAAGAATTTCCATACAGCACATGACAGAACAAATAAAAACAACAATATTACAAATAAATAATATAACAGGAGAGAAGGGATGAAATATTTAATAGAGCAAAGTCCCACAGAGACAAACATTTCCTGACAAGCTGATAGAAGAACATGTGCAGAATAAACATGCCAAGTGTCCAGGTTCATGCCCTGTACAGGAAAACAGCTCCTGGTAGCCACTGATTAAGAGGCTCGGCCAGCCCCAGAGCGTCTGGAAGAAATTTCTTACCACTGGTAAGATTCAGATCCCAGCCATCCAGTTCATAGTCTAATAATCCTTCTCTTACCTATCAAATATAATTAATTTACATTTTTATCTCAGTTTATGATAATTTCATGCACTTGGTATAAACAGCTGTCTTATCCATCCATCCCAGGCAATACTGAATTAAGTGTGGGTGGTGGGATAAGTCAGTCTACACCTCACTCTTAATTTAAAAGAATGGATAGTGTACTCCATCTTGAAAAAAAACATACAGGTAGTTCACAGTAGTAAATTACTTTCCATTGTATCTCTCAATTTAATTAACACATTGAAACAAATCCATCTTGAGTAACAGTTTATCAGGTAGATAAGATATCCTCTGCCTCTTATAAAACAGAAAGATTTTATTACCATATCTACAAAAGTCCACAACTATTACCCATTTTGAACTGCTTTGTAACATACTTTACATAAAAACATTGAGTCAAATGCGAGAGATTTTAATGAAACACACATTTCTACCACACATCTACATTTTGTACAAGTTGTTTTTGATAAATGTCATCAGGTAAACAGTAGTTATCTGCAGAAGACACTAAGAAGAAATCTGCTTGATAATATTTACTGTAGACTGCTACGACCTACATAAATTGTAATTACAACATTTTTACTTTTAGAAATTCCAATAAAAATAACCAGAACATACAACTTCTTCACTCTGATTTTACTTTGACTATTCAACATGCAATTTCAACACCACACACAGCCTTATTAATAATTTAACAATTATCCACTTTCATTTTGAAGTAATTATCATCAAACCAACCACTTCCACGATACAGCAATATAGTATCAATCTAATTTATGTAATATTCGGCAATGTTATATTCATATCTAACACAAAACAAGTGCCTCTAAAAGTAGATTAATCACAGAAATGT